ACATTGAGCGCATGCTTCATTCACTGGACGTTCAAAGAGCCTTGGCATATTATGTTTCACGGACTAAGGACTTTTGTGCTGCCTCAAGACTATTCCTCTGTTTCCATGGATCACATAAGGGTTCCCCTGCTTCCTCTTCGTCTGTTTCTCAATGGCTTGTCTCCACTATTGCTCTGGCTTACAAACCGCAAGGCAAAACTCCTCCAGAAGGTATGAAAGCACATTACTCCATAGTTCTTGCAACATCTACAGCGTTGCTGCGTGGTGTCAATGTTCCAGACATCTGCAGAGCAGCCACATGGTCTAATGCGTCCACTTTTGTGACGCACTACAGACTAGACATTCAGGCCAAGAAGGAGACAAGCTTTGGAAGAGCAGTTTTGACTTCTGTTCTTCTGTTCTCCTTCTGGTAAATGAGCTTGCTAGTCACCCACATGTATGCATTCACAGAGGCCACGAAGAAGAAAGACAGGTTACTTACCTGTAACCATGGTTCTTCAAATGGATCTCTGTGAATTCCCACCCAGCCTCCCCACTATCCGTCACTGACTTTGTCTCTGCTAAGCTCAGGCTATTGTGGCGGATAAATGGAACTGAAGGCTGAAGCAGGTGGAGCATGCACGACAGGGGCAATTCTAAACTTTGTTACTTTTCTACAAAAGCTCTAGAAGATTCCAAGAGGACCAGTGCAGGCACTGTCAAAACCCACTTGTGTGAATTCACAGAGGTCCACTTGAACCATGGTTACAGGTAAGTAACCTGTCTTTTCCACACACAAACACATACACAGAACAGTTCTCTCTGTTGGAGCTCTCTTCCATAGCATTGTCAATCCTTTCCATGCAGTACTGTGTGCAATGAGCCTTAAAGGTCCTTATGACCCCTGATCCAGAGGCTGAATTAGAGAGGTTTGTTTGCGGGAAAGTAGACCACTTCAGCACCTTCAGTGTTGAACTCATAGGGTTTGGGTGGCCAAGAGCACAGGACTTATTGAATATTTATTTTTTTGTGTATTTGTCTATTAAAAAATCCATGTATAACCAAAACCACATTGCTTAAACCCATGCAATTCAAGGAAGAAGTATAGTACTGCTAGATACACAGCTTCATAAGTACAGAAAACAGTATTGCCAAATGATTCATGATGCTAATTGTTGTCTTTTTGTACATACTCATATTTGTTATTTAAGTGAAAGATTTTCTGAAAACCTTTCACCTGAATAATAAATAAATAAATATTGATCATTCTTGTAAGCATGATTCTGATACCTAGTCTTTACTTGATTATTCTAGTAAGCATGATTCTGATACCTAGTCTTTACTTTTAAGTTCATCATTTTGAATTTTTAAAGAATTTAATTCTTAGTAAGTATGCATAATATGCTAGGGCTTCCAATTAAATTTCCTGCAGCAGAGAAATGATCTGAAGTGATGTGATTTAACTAGGGATTGTGTTCTCATCAGCTTTTCATAATCGCTTTTCAGTGTTGCCTGATTCTTGTTTCTTGCCACTTTGAGTACTACCTGCTAACTTTGAACTACCTGGCTGTTATGCTGAGCTGGACAGGCATTTTTATTCGATGGTAGTGATGCCACTTGCCGTAGACTTTTACCTTTTGTGAGATACTGAGATGTCAATGTTAAGTGTTCTCTATAACATTCATTCTAATTTCAGAATGAGAACTGTAATTCTAATTTAGATTGGCAGTAACAGAAAGTACATTAAAAACTATTTAAACCCATAATCATTCTATCTTGGTTAACAAATAGTGTTCTCTTGCTCTTCAAAATCAAACAAGAAAATACTGTCCTATAACAGTGTCTTCTTTTGAAAATGAGGAATGGAAATATGTTGCATTTGTCATTAATACCTTGTCAAAACTATGGAACACATACTTTGAAATGACAGATGTTCACACTTCTGAACAAGAGAAAGGGAAGTAGAAAATATGTGTTATATTGATACTCCTGGATGACAGGTTTGATAGTTTATTACTGTCCAAGCATCCTAGGTGGCATTCCATGAGAAATTGGCACTTAGACAGGAAGAAAAGAGAGAGAGAGAGAAACAACTTCGCAAAAGTGTAGCTGCCTGTCTCTTTGCTTTAAAGCTTACTTGGAGAAAAGTTTGCTCCTATCTCCACCACCACTACCATGCACTGCTGTTGTTGAGGATAAACTCTCTCTGTTATGTGACATTTTAAAACAGATTCTCTTAGCTGTAGGGCCTTCATTTTTGCTGCCTCTTTATGCTATCCATGCTCAATAATGCCAAATATCCTAGTCCTGCAAACACATATCTGTTATTTATGAACATACCAACATGCTCACTTTAGCTTCTTCCTCCACTAAGACACACTAAAACAAACTACCGTATTTTTTGCTCCATAAGATGCACTTTTTCTCCCCCAAAATGTGAGGGGGAAGACTATGCGTCTTATGGAGCGAAGGCAGCAATTTCATCCCTGCTGGCCTCGTGGGGGGGCATCGCAAGGGTCCGGGTGAGCCTTCCAGGACCCTTGCAACGCTCCCACCACCACCCACGGGGCCAGCGCAGGCGAAATCGCCAGCTTCCAGGTGGGGCAGCATCGCAAGGGTCCGGAAAGGCTCACTCAGATCCTTGTGATGGTCTCCCCACCCCCGCACGGGGCCAGCACTGGCAAAATCGGCAGCTTCTGGGAGTCTTCTGAAGCTTCCCAAGCCTCAAAAGACTTCCAGAAGCTGGTGATTTCACCCCCCCGGCCCTGTGGGGGGGTGGAGGAGCGTCACAAGGGTCCGACTGAGCCTTCCAGGACCCTTGCGACACTCCCCCCACCCCCGCACAGGGCCAGCGCCAGTGAAATCGCCAACTTCTGGGACTCTTTTGAGGCTTGGGAAGAGTCCCAGAAGCTGCCGATTTCACCCCCTCTGACGGCGGGGGGGGGGCTCCAAAGGGTTTTAGGATGTGTTCCATAAGATGGACCTCTCCATAAGGCTCACCAATTTTTAGGAGAAGAAAGCAGATTATTTTTCCTGTTTTCTTCTCCTAAAAATTTGGTGTGTCTTATGGAGCGAAAAATATGGTACTTGACTGATTCTCTGCCTGCAGTCTGTCCTTATGCCCAGCCCATAGTCAGTTGTCACCAGCTAAGGCTCCCACACAGTAAAGATAGTATTTCTCATAGGGCATTAATTTGGAATGTGCACAGAAATACATTTTGTCTTATGTGTCCACTCACTCCTGCTTGTGCTCACATATTCTGAAAGGTTCCACAACAGTACTGAAAAGCCATGAGGCAAAGGTGAGACAGGAAATTAAACTGACAGAGAGTATTGGCTTTTCTTACATGGAAAGCTGGATTAGATTCAATTGAAAGAAGAGTGGACTTGGTGAGCTGACATCCATAATTTAAGATGCAGATGGCACCATATTATTAGCAGAGAATATCAATTAATTAAATTAGCAGTTAATGAAGCCTAAAGAAAAATGCAAAATCAGGATTACAGTGGGATATTAAGACAAAAACAATTAATACTGAACCATTACACAACTTTAATGTTGACAGTAAGGAAATTGTTAAAGATTTTATATGTTTTGTTTCAATAATCAATCCAAATGAAAACAGCAGCCAAGAAATCAAGAAAAGATTGAGACTCAGAATGTATGAAAGAACTAAAAAATCCATAAATGTGAGGGAGTGTCACTGGAGATCAAATCCAAGATCATCTCTACTGTGTGTTCCCAGTGTACATCCTAGTGTGTATGGATGGGAAAGCTGTACAGTGAAGAAAGCTAACAACAAGAAGAATCTACACATTTGAAATGTTTTGGAGGAAAGATTTATGAATGCAAGAGAGACAAATAAGTAGGTTCTAGATCATATCATATCTGAATTCCGTCTAGAAGCTAAAATCTGTAAACTAAAATAATTAAATTTTAGACTTACTATGAAGAAGACAGGATTCACTAGGAAAGACAACAATGCTAGTAAAATTAGAAAGCAATAAGAGGAAGGCCAAATATGAGATGAATTTATTCAGTAAAGGAAGCTGCAACAATTCGTTTGCAAGACCTGAGCAGGACTGACAATTTAGGAACTGTTGAAAGTCATTAATTCATGGAGTCTCTGTGGATAAAAAATGGCCTTATGGGGAATAACAAGCAGTTTGTCTGATGACTAGGTCTGGCGTTTCTCTCTTTTGGTACTAATAGCCAACATACTTTAGATATGAAAGTTTTGAATGCCCCGGGTCCTACAAATAGTTTGGTCCAGCAGCTGGACAGAAGGTTGATTCGAGTCTACTTGGTAGCTCTCTGGGTGATTTACATTGACAGAGATTTGTAACCTCTAAGGGAGTTGTAGTGGCAGATTAACTCTAGAGAGAGAAAAGATAAATCAATGAAGTTTCCCCAGCACTATTCTTTGTTTCTTTTAAGAGAAAAGGGCCAATCCTGTGCTAGTACGAGAGCATCAGTGTGTGTTTTCTTAAGAATGTACCATAAATTTAGGAATTCTTAAATGTTCCTGCAAATCAGTTTATCTCACTTCTTTTGTTTTGATTTCTGAAATAGGTTGTCTGCATTTGCTCATTTATTTTCACATTATGGGTTGAATCAAAAACAAATTGCCCAAACTCACACTGATTTCAGTGGGACCAGAATGTTCCTAAGTTTGTATGTTTCCAGGTTTATCAGTATAATTCATTGATGACTGTTTGGCATTAAGCTGGAACTGTTTGCTTCCATGTGATTTGCAAATGTCAAATATCTTTATAGTAATAATAAAGTTACTGAATGTCTCAGTGAGTATAATACGAATAGCATATTATGGTTTTATACATGTGAATCTGAAAAATGCTGACATGCCAAGTTAGCAAATGCATTGATTCAATGTTCAGGTCTCTGCAAATTATTCATACTAATGTAGTTCCCATAATGAATGTTTTATGGCTCTTCTGTCAACACTATTTGTCTAACACACTAAGTTTTCCCTATTTCCTTGCCTGCTCTTTCAACAAAGAGGATACTTCTGACAAGATGGATGGTAAGATCGTATTTTGTCTGTCATTTTCTAAAACAACTAATCTAGTGACTTGTATTTACATAATAATTTGAATATCATTACTTAGTTCATAATCTATCATTTAATTTATAACTAATTTTATGTTTTCACTAATGTATTGCACATTAATATCAACATCAAAATTGTGCTGTAAGTTTATGTAATACAGGCTGAAATCCTGATGCACAACTTTACATCTTGCACCAAGGATTATCTCATCAGACATGGCAGTTTTGGGGCAATAACAGGTTTCCTGGGGACCTCAGTGGGTTTGGGGGATCCCTGTATTATCCTCCTTCTATGACACAGCACCACCAACAGGATTTTAGCCACAGTGTTACTAAAATATGCATCTATTAATATACCTAGCATTAGTTTGAGAAAAACATAATTTTAATATTGCAACAGTTGGCAATCAAGTGAACAACTGTAGTTGTTTTCCAACTGTAGCAGTTAAATCTAGATGTGTAATTTTGACTTCTCTAACTGGTGATTTACTTTGCATTTCTGGTTTATGATTTGAAGTAGCTGCTGCTGCTGTTTCCATTATAAGAGCCCACCAAATGTTGGCAGGATTTGATATCCTGAATATTAGGTCATAATTGAATAATAACTCAAGCGCCCATATGACGGGGGTTACCAGTAACAACAATGTAACAGGAGCCAAGTGACTTAGCCATGTGCAACACTCATTGCTGTCTTTTTATATGTATTTCCTTCTTTGTGCTGTTGTTCAAAGGCACATTCCAGCTCCGTTCAGCCATCTTGTTTACCATCTTATCTCACACTTCTCATTAAAAAATGGATACAATGTCTGGAGTTAGTGATGATTAAAATAAAACTAAAATGACAACCCTAGCAAGACATAAAAAGGTAAACACATACCAAAATACATCTAGGACATCCAGAAATTTTGTTTTAAGTAGAAACATTGTCATTCAATTTCTTCTTAGAAATAACATTTTTAAAAGCTCATGAAAACAATAAAAATCCTGTTGTGTAAAGTTATGCCATCACAAACTGGATCCAGCACCATTAACTTGGAAGCCAGAATAAACTGGATCCAGCATGACTGATTCCACCAAGTAATTAATTTAAACTAATAAAAGGCTTCCTGTCCTCCCCCTGCACTGGAGAGGCCTTTGGGAGCCCCAGAATTGGGGGGGGGGAGGCCTATATTAGTCAATTATCCCCTGAGCTGGGATTGGAATCCTCAACAATTTTTTACCATTAAAGCAGACTTGTCCATGCGGCTCAGGTCGGCTCATAATGCAGCCCAGTGCAATTTTTTTATTTTTAAAAAAATTCCAAAGTTTCAAGTTACACTGCCCGCGCTTGCGGACAGAATGCACTGGGGCATGTCACAATGGTAGGGTGGGAGAGGGAAGGAAGGAAGGAGTGGGAGGGGAGGGGACAGGGGGCTGTGTGACTGCATTGCGCTATCCCCGTCAATAGGTGGACCCCCTCCCGGCCCCATAAAGCCACCGGAGTTGAAGCTGGTAGCCTCTGCTGTCCGAGATTGCAGCTGCCAGTAAGCGTGCTTGGAGCAGGGCTACAGAGGATGGCTAGGGCTGCCCCCCCATGCAGCCCAAACCAAATTTATGTGCGGCCCAAACCAAATTTTCATCTTCTAATTTGGCCTAGGGAAGGTGAAAGGTTGGACACCCGTACGTTAAAGCCTCCCCCCTTCACAGTCCCACACTGATTCCCAGCGTTATGTAGAGGAACTAGGACTCTGGGGAACAAGATTCAAATCCCTACTTAGCCATGGAAACTCATTGGGTGTAGAGACTGGTAAAGCCACTCCTTAAATATCTCACTTACCTTGAAAGCCCTATAAGTTGGTTCTGACTTGACTGCACAGAAGACACCCACACCCACCTATCCCAAGGTTCACAAAGGGTTTCCAAGAGAGACCAAGGGAACCTCAGAACCTAAAGGTAAGAGATAGAAAGCTTTCAATAAGTTTAATTATTTCCTATGTTAGATCTACTTTACACCAGTGGAATTTTACTCCACCAGGTTTTTGCCCATCCTTCATAAAATATAAACAGTCAACATCAATAAATAATCAAAAGACAAAGAAATTTCCTAGGTTATAGATAACAGAACTTTATGAAGTACTGTTATAAAGTTGGTCATAATATACTGTCTACCATTTTATCCTTTTAATGCATAAAATTTTTAAAACATTGAAAATACTTACTTTTTCCTTAGTTTCTTCCATGAATCTGTTACTGTGTCCTTTCCCATGATTCCTGTGTTTCAAATTCTGTAATATTCTGCAACAAGAGAAGATAGCTTCCAATGTTGTTTCTTTCTTACCCACTGCCATTTTTTCCAAATCCATTCCATCAGCCATGATCAATTTTTTTTCATGTTACCCTCAATGGAGTCGAAGCATAGCCATGATTGCTTTTATCTATATTTGTATCTATATTATGTTGTTTATAGCGTTTGTCGGGTGTGGTGAGCTCATAAGTGCATTAATGTCCACATTTGATATCCAAGACATGTCTTCCTAATAATGTAGATCCAATTGTTAAGCCAGCTGTGGAAGTGCTTTTGTGAATCTTTCTGGTGCTGCTATTACCATACTGTATTTCCCTGCAGCTATGGCACAAAATAGCATTAGCTATAATGGCTGGAACATATGATGCAACACTGCATTTTTCATGTGACTAAAAAGATTATGCTTATTTCTGAGCATAATTTCATTGAAAAGTGCAGTATAGTAAGAATTCATTCTTGCATAATAGACACTCTTTTATGTATGTTCTTTGAAAACCAGAGTGATTGCTTACCAAATACACTGAAGTACTTATTTGGAATATCATTGTTTTAATATTTTTCCCATTTAGGAACAGCTTCTGAAGATGGTAAGAGAATGAACCTTCTAAAAAGCACATGCTTCCATCTTAATCTTTCCATCATCATAAGCAATAGCCTTGTACAAACTGAACAGTCCATTATGTGATCTTAAGGGTTAACGTATTAGTTGGCTTACCTAATACTGTTTTGTTGCTGCAATACAGTATTTCTTTGCCTAATTTGTGTTAATGCGTTTTCAAAATAACCATTTATATTTTTTAAAAGTATTGATTCTGTTTTTATTTTAGAAATGCAAACTTTTGGTTTATTTTGTTCTTGCTAAAACCCTTCAGTGGAAATTTCAATATGCTAGATGTTCTCATGCTTGGAAAGCAGGTGCTACTATTCTTCATATCTTAGAAATGTTTCTTTGCTTTCTAAATATAGTTAAGCATTTACCTATTCAGGTATTGTCAAATAATGGTCAAATATTTTTAAAGCAACTAATGTTGAGAACAGTGATGATGTTCAGTAGAGTTAACATATAATTAATTTTCTTAAGATTAGAATAGTTGCTGTTGAAAAACAGTTGGTTAAATCCAGCATCTACTAGTGACAACGGACGTTTCTCTGCTCACCCCGCTAGTTCTCTTTGGTTCCAAATGTGGGCTCCAGTGTTGGTATGGAGATGCATGGTCAGAGGTCATAGTGGGAAGAGCAGAATTGTTCCTCCCATTTCTATTACAGGTTTTGTATATTTAATTCTGCCCTTTTTTCCATGGAATTCAGGACAATATGTAGAGTGCTTCCATTTTTTTTTAATTCTTGCAATATCCCTGTTAGGTATATTGGACTGAGTTTGCGTGACTGACCCAGTAACACCTGCTGAAGCTCATGACTGAGCATTTGTACTTGGATCTCCCTGGTCATAGATCAACAGATGACTGTGACCTTTGCCATAGATAACTGCTTGTCTGACTACAGTGATACCTCGATTTAAGAACTTAATCTTAAGTCAACACACCATTTCCCATACGGATGCATTGAAAACCATTTAATCCGTAGCTGCAGTTTTTCGTTCTTAAGTCAAGGCGCTGTTTTTAAATTAAGCATTAGTTCCCATAGGAACTAAGGCAAAGCTGGTTAATCTGTATCTACCACTAAGGGGTGATTTTTTTACTATTTTTTCTTCTTTTGACCTAAGGTGAACTTGGGTCAAAAAAAGGGCAGGAAAGGTGTTTTTTTCTTTTTCTGGTTCTTAAGTCAAGGTTCCGTTCTCAAGTCAAAGCAACTTTTTGTGAACGGAGCCATTCTTAACTTGAATTGTTCGTATGTAGGGACCTTCTCAAGTCAAGGTACCACTGTATTCAGCAATACCTAGCAACTGGATAAGCTTTACTCTGCTACTAGCTGTGTCTTTAACTGCCAGAAAGCTAGAGGTCAAAATGTTCTTGTTGCTTTTCATATTATGTTAGATGAATAAATTATGTTATAGCAATATAAAAATGGATTTCCATTTATGCGGTGGCATTCTTAGAATATTTGACATTATTTGACTGTGCAAAATAGAAACTAAATTGAGCAGTGTGGCAGCCCTGTATCTCGCTAGTGACGACACTTAACAGATACGGAACAAGCAGCAACATTGCCTTATGGTTTGGCTTTTGGGGTTTTATTATAGTGTAACTAAGCTCCTCTATTTGTGGTAATTTAGAATGATGAAAAAATGGTAGCACTCTGTATTCCTGCTTTTTGCAGGTGAAAGTCTGTGTGCATCCTTCTCACCCCATTACAGTGGATGCCAGCAGTCCTGTTGCATGAGTGTGATTGTATGGGCTTTAGCCAAACCTGTTCATACATAATAAACGTATATTGCCAATAACAAAGGGTATAACTTTTAAAATACTGACTCCACTTCCATAGACTCAGGATTTTTTTCCTACTTAGGTGAACAATGCTTTATATAGTATAACAGTTTCAGAACTGTATCTAATAGACTGTATCAAACTGCATTGGTGTATTGCTTTTCCTAGACATTTTATTTTAATGTTCAATCACAAATATTAGAATGGTGTTTTACAGATTGGTATACAGAATTTTTGTTCTTAAGCTTGGTGCTCAACTCTTCACTGTGGTGACAGTTTTCTGAATAGCTTCAGAAATCCCATCCATCTTGAATGTGGAGGATAGAATTTGGTTGGTTTGCTTCAATAAATGTGCTTACACAACATTTTCTGGTTTTTCTTTATAAAATAGAATTTATTCCTTACTAAAGCACACAAACTTTGATGATAAGCTGCCATTATTATGGGCGATGAAGTCTCTAATTGTTGATAGCAATGGCTTAATTCAGATTGGAGAATAAAAAAATGAATATATTTAAACCAGAAAGATGGCAAGTCAAGGAGTGGAAAAGGCATCTTTCTTGAGCATAAATACGGCATACATAAAATCAGCTGACTGATGGTAATGTTTTGCCAGACTTACTATTCAGATTATAATTTACAGCGTTCCCCATCCTTTTTCAGTCCACGAACTAGCTGGGGAAGGCGGGGCACCCCCCCGCTCATGTGCATGCACGAACAAGCACTCTCTCTTGCACAAGCGTGCCACTGTTTGCGCATGCACGCAACCACACTCATGCCCATGCGCAAATGGCAGTGTGGTGCTTGTCTGGGCACGGGCGCACTCGTGCCCATGCACAAACAGCGATGCACGAACAAGCAATCTCTCTCTTGCACAAGCGTGCCACTGTGCATGCACGTAACCACGCTCATGCCCATGCACAAATGGCAATGTGGTGCTTGTCTGGGCATGGGCGCACTCGTGCCCATGCACAAACAGCGGCACTTGCACAGGTGTGCTGGAGCACGCACAGGTGAAAATGGGCTGTGCGGGGGTGAATGCGTGGGGGGGGTAGAGCAGGATGTCTGTCTTGGTGGCTTGGTCTGGCTCAGGCCACGGACCAGCACCAGGCCGTGGACCGGGGGTTGGGGACCTCTGCTTTACCTCACACATCCATGTTAGTGAGGAGTGTGGCAAAACTTTGCACCTAGTGCTGTTAGCATTTCTGTAGTTTTCTTTTACTCTGTTGAAACTGCGATACGAATTCCTGTCTGTTTTCTTAACATTTTAATTTTTGACAGGGAGTAAGAAACACCTGATTAGACCAGCAGCATGATTAAAGTATGTTATGCTTACTTTTATGATTGCCATCATTACTGAATAATTTTTCTAATTCCTTCCTTCCTAGGACGTGTACGAACCAAGCTTTCAACACCATCTGTTGGCATGGGAAACTCAAAGACAGATTCCAGAGGTCGTAGTCGAACAAAAGTTGTATCTCAGTCTCAGCGTATGTATTGCCGCATGTCTTGTTTATCTCTTAATAGCATGAAGCCATATGCATAGTGTACAATCGTTGACCAAAGGATATGGTCAAATATTTTTTAAAAAACACTACATACTGAGTTGTTGTTCTGTGCCTTAGGTTCATCATCGCCAGACAAAAATGAAGGTATTTTTTTTCAGTGTTTCAGTGTTTCGGGTCAGTAGTCTGCATGCTTTTGGAGTCTTTTATAGTTCGTGTGGTGTTATTTTGAACAAGATGCCATTTAAAAAGCAAAGAGCAGGAGGAAGTTATTCTTATGGTGAAGCAGTGTAGAGCTATTAAAATTAGACTCCTTTGTACTATGGAACTAATAAGCTAAGGTTTAATAACAAAAATGAATGAATGGATAGTATGGATAGAATGGGAAAGTTCATGAAGCTGTTGATGACATCCATAATCAGTTTCAGTGTCATAAAACATTTTACCTGTTAAAGCTACTATTCAGTAGTTTCCATTTCATCTAGAACTGCAGTGCCCTGTTTTTGCTTCTCAGTAGAATTCAGTGTAGTATATTATGGTTTATTGGAAATGTGTGTATGTAGAATTAGGGAAACACATTATTAAACAGTCACTTAAGCAGACACTTCAAACATGTCATTTTTCACTTGGAAAGTCATTTTAGTATTCCAGTAGAGTTTTATCATACATACTTATTTATTTATTTAATTTATATGCCGCCCACTCCATTCCAGTAGAGTTTTATCATACATAGTTGTTTATTGTTTGTTTTGAACTGTTTGTCAAATACTGTGCCTTAAGAATTGCTGGCAGTTGTATTCATTGGCCAAAATCCTGTCGCTTAGCATAGGAAATCACATTAGAGTATGCCCATGGAATCAACAGAAATTTAGCCAGTCTCCTTGTTATTGTGTATCATGCTCCTAAAGGAGTTGGTTACATGTGCCACTTAATGGAACATGTTCTCATTTTTGAGAGTTTAGATTTTAGCATCTAATTAAGAATGCCATAAGGCCGTGGCCATATTCTCTGAAAAGCCACTTTTCTTTTTGTAACATTAAAGATGAGGAAATGGTATAGAAAACTTACTTACCTGTAACTCTGGTTCTTCGAGTGCTCCTCTATGAATTCACACTAATTAGTTAATCTATGCTTGAGCAGAGGAGTCTTGGAAACTTTCACAGCTTTAAGCACTTAGTGCTGGGACTTCCCCTACACCAACTATATAACTCCACCCCCGGCACCCAGTGCCTCTAAGAAGCCGACCACCACTGCCCAGCGTTCAATGGCACACATGACGGACAGTGGGAAGGAGGGCGGTTTATATGAATTCACAGAGGACCACTCGAAGAACCAGAGTTACAGGTAAGTAACTTTTCTTTCTCCTTCGTGGCCTCTGAATACACACTAATAGGTGACTGGAAAGCTGACTAACCAGGAGGAGGGACGTCACGAAAGTGTGGAAGCAAGGACAGCTCGACCTACCACAGCCTCAGCCTTCGGCCAGACATCCAGGCGGTAGAGCGAGATGAAGATAGGGAGGGTGGCACATGCGGAAGCGCGGCAGACATCTACGATGTCCAGTCCATGGAGAAAGGCTGTTGATGATGCCACAGCTCTAGTAAAATGAGCTCTCACTGACTTTGGAAGAAGAGTCTCTGCCAAATCATAGGAAGACGGATGGTCTTGACTAACCATCTAGAGATGGTCTGAGAGGAAGCCGGTGCTCCGAAGGAGGAGCCGGCAAAGGTGACAAAGAGACACTGTGAGGCATGAAAAGTGGTTGTGCTATTCACATAATGCAGCAGAGCACGCTTCACGTCTAGAGCATGCAGAGCTGTCTCAAGCAGTGAAGATGGCGTGGGAAAGAAGGCAAGAAGGACAGCTGGCTGGTTCAGATGGAAGGCAGAAAATACCTTAGGCAAGAAGGTAAGGTCTGGGCGTAAGGTTACCTTGCAGAAAGGAGGATCCGCTCTTAGTGTAGCCAGTCCTCCAGCCCTGGAAGCTAAAGTTACTGCCAGGAGAAAAGGAGTTCTGAGCTTAGCAAGTGAAGCGATGCTGACGCCAAGGGCTTGAAGGGAGGCCTCATAAGCCGCTGAAAAATTGATTGGAGAGACCACTGAGATGTTAGTGGTCTATAGGCAGGGGGCGTATATTCTCCAGGCCTCTGAGAAATAGCTTGCAGGTAGAATGGGCCAGTCCCAGGCAAGTTAGGTGAAGGAGAAACTGAAGGAATGCATCCAGAGACATTAGGTTAGTAGGCAAATGTTGTTTGATGCAAAGTGACAGAACGCCTACCCATTATAGGAGCTTGTCAAGGTGGTAGAAGGTTTGTGAGCATGATTGAGCATGTCTGTGACAGACAGGGAAGACTCCAAGCCGTCAGATGGAGAGACTCGAGGACCGGATGAAATATCCGACCCTTGTCTCGAGCCAGTAGATGAGGGACCAGCTGCAGTGTGATGTATTCCACAGCTCACGGAAGCAGGATCAAGAACCATGGCTGGGGAGGTGACCAAGCATGACGTTTGCACACTCATGTTGGACTTGAACGACAATCCTTTGCAAAGGGGGAAAGGTGGAAACATGTAGAGGAGGCCCCGTGACCAATTCGTCAGGAAGGTGTCCCCTAGGGATTTGCAGCTGATGACAGCTTGGGAGCCAAACATGGCACACTTCTTGTTCGTCTGAGATGTGACGGTGTCTATGTCTGGAGTCCCCCCTCAACGACAGAGGCAACGAAAAATGGTATCATCGAGAGTCCACTCGTGAGAGCAGGACTGTAGTCTGCTGATATGTTCTCGCCTGCCAAATGTACAGCCACCGGATAAATGTGGCGAGCATAACACCATTCCGAAAAGTCAATGGTTTGAAAAAGAAGCCGTAACGAATGTGTGCTGCCCTTCTTGTTTATATAATAAACTGCAATGGTATTGTCTGATGCAACCTGGACCACCCGACCCCGGAGTAGGGGCTCAGAGGCCCGAAAGGCCTTGGTGACTGCCAGGAGCTCCAGCACAATGATATGCAGACTGAATACTATCATGGACCAGCGGCCCATGGCAACGTGGTGGCGTAGACAAGCACCTGCAGCCTGACGGGCTGGCATCCACCACTGACTGAACCCACCGGATCAAGAGACCAAAGGGTCTCCCTATCCGTAGGTTGAGGGGAGATCTCCACCAGTCCAGTTGTGCAGTGAGTTCCGGAATCACCTGGAGCAACGTGGATAGGTGATCACAAGAAATCTAAAAGAGTGAGAGAAACCAGGCTTGAAGGGACTGCAACCTCAATCGAGCATGCTGTCCCACAGCTGTGGTAGATGCCATCAGCCCCAGGAGTCACTGGACCTGTAGGACAGGGAGCCAAATGCCTGAAGAAAAGGAGCATAACAAATCATGCATTTTCACAGACTTGTTGTCAGGGAAAAGAAAGCCTGCTTCAAGAAAGCATCCAAAGTTACAATACAATTTACACATTGTGTAGGGTGCAAAATCGACGTCTCTGTTGACCTTTAGTCCTGACGCCGACGAAAGAGACAGTGTCAAGGACGTGTGTTTACAAACTTGTGACTTGGACTCAGCGACCAATACAATTTACGCATTGTGTAGGGTGCAAAATCGACATCTCTATGTTGACCTTTAGTCCTGACGCTGACGAAAGAGACAGTGTCAAGGACGTGTGTTTACAAACTTGTGACTTGGACTCAGCGACCAGGAGCCAGTTATCCAAATACGGGTAAACAGTGATTCCCCAAATGAAACCCTGAGAAAGTGTTGATAGTCTGGCCGGATGCCAGCATGAAAATGAGCATCTCACGGTAAACCAACTCGCTGGATGTAACATGTGAATAACAGAGTCCAAGGAAGCCATATGGAATCTACGTAGAGTAATAAAAGAATTCAGGCCTCCAAAATCAAGCATGGGCTAGAGGTCTCCATCCTTTTTTGGGGGTGGGGGTGGCCTTAACGTGGCCTGTGACAAGGGGGTACATCAAATTCAGTGGCATCACTGGTAGCTATGATAGAGAGTACTGAAGTGTTAGATGTGAAGGAACACCAATTTGAAAGATGAAGTGTCAAACGGACTGATTGGTCTACAACAGAGAAGTCAGGTGCATAAAGAGACCGCTCGGTATTTCAATCCTGCCTGCGGTTTTGTTGGTCAGGGTTCTGCCTGCCCACATGTCTAGGGGGTGGTGGCTGTTAATTTTGGGGTTGAGGCCTTTGACGTTCCTGTTATGTCCTAGGCTGGTAGGAACATCACCAGGTACTGTACTTGTGGTTGTTACTCTGCAAATGACCTTGCCACCTTCCAGAGCTTGAGCAGGTTATCAAGAATAACATCAGTTTTCTGACCAAAAAGCCCTGTGCCATCAAACAACATGTCTTTGACCCACCAGTTGTTTGGATGCTGGTTTAAGGCATGTCGAGCAGCAATGCGCTTGTGACACGCCCACCTCATTGCCTCCTAGTGATTTAGGAGGCCTCAACTGTAAAGGTGCACAGGAGCTACCTGCAGAATGGGCAATGCCAAATTCCATAAGTGGTCATGATAAGCACCCATGGCAGAGGAGTAGTGGCTACATGGCGGCCAGAAAAAAACGCCGACCAAAGAACTCCTTATCTGTTAATGGTAAAGGAGGAGGACTAACTGTGGCAACTGATATGGGAGTAGGAAGATTGGTTGGAAATCTTCCTCCCCTTCTGACTCTTGTGAGTCCCAGCTGAATAAGGTAAGTCCTTCTGACGATTAGGGGAACAGTCTTTCTTAGCATGAACCTGACCAAGCTCAGTCTCAATACAGTTGCCAGGACGGAGAAGGCTGAAAGGGTTAACAGTGGATTTGGTCAAACCCGTAGACATTTGGCTGCTGGAGCCGAGTTCGAGGGAGCACTACACCTTTGAGACATAGGTGGAGGCACAGAGCACTCCTTAGCCCGTGGCTCAGAACAGTGCCAGATGGAGTGAGGCAGCGGTGGTGGCAGAAAAGGCAGCGGAAAAGGCTCAGAGCTCCTGTACCGGATAAAAAGGAGTGGTCCAGCACGAACTTGTCAGCATGATAGGACCCTCCTGAGGAAAATTACTCGGGTCTACCTAACAGTGGCAGGGTTCTAGGGTTGACTCATATGAGTCCTTTCCTTTTGAGCCTATGCTGGTGCCGGCAGC